ATCAAAGTGTTTGAATTGTTAATGTAATATATAGGTTTGAATTTGCTGCCAATACAAACAATTTGCTTGTCCTGAGTGGTATTTTCTGATCAAATTATTTCTTCATAATTAATTAAAGGTTTTATACAAATAGATTTATCAGCTGATGACTATGAAGCATCTAGTTCATCTTTTAAAGCTCTCACACAGGTTCAGGCTTTTTTAAATTAAATGAAAATTGGCTTGTTTTAATGGCGTGTTGGTGCTTTTATATAACAATGTGGATCAGCTACTAAACCAACTCTCGAGCAGCTGAAGGAACAGCAGGTGGATTTATTAGAAGTTTAACTTTTGAATCCTTGCCAATGTCTGCCATCGCAAAACGTTGGGACTTTCTCACAAAAACTGATCCGCTGGAGTCCTCTTGGAACCACTCGCTGTCTTTGTTTCCAAGTACAAAATGGTTAAMAATGCCCACTGTGTGATCATTACTATTTCCCTTGTAATCCCCGTCACAATGAAAGGGGCTTCTCAAAGCAAGCCTGGATGATAATTGTAGACATTCAGCTGCCGTTTTTAGGGGATGTGCAGTCTGGATTGGTCTATTTACAGTTCAACACTCACCTATGGTGATGAGGTATGAATTATGAACAGAAAATAAATAAATAAATAAATATATAAATCCTGGATACAAGTGACTGAAATGAGCTCCCTCTGTAGGCTGGCCTCAGCTTCAGGGGTAAGTTAAGGAGCTTCATCATCCAGAGGGAGCTTAGAGTACCTCTGCTGAGGTGGATCTTTTGGAGGTTTTCCAGGCACCTCTTTGGATGAAAAACCGAGTCCTCTGTGAAAACCCAACACAAAGAGAACATGCAAATTCCACACAGAAAGACCCCAGGCCCTAACCAGAGATCAAACCATTGTTGCTGAGTGGCAACAGTACTAACCGCTAATCCATCGTACTTTCACAAGATGGAATTTTACCAATTACCAATCARCTGGCCTTATTTACGATTCCCGTACGCAACAATTGACCTGTTTAAACGTGACAAGCAGCATGGAATTTGGTAGGAATGTAGATGTGTCCAAATTACACTGTGCCTGTCAACATTCTTACYATAGACCCCATATTTGAGGAGGGGGCTCCATCTGAAATGGGGGGTGTCCTTGGACATACAAAAATGCTTAACTTATAAACTATTCAACATAGGAGCTTCAGAATTTTTTTTGTTATTAAGCTTTGAAGACAAATCCATCAGGCCCACCAATGAGCACCCCCCACCCCTCTTGACCCCCCCACCCAAAACAATAAATCCATTCTGGTGACTGCTGAGTTCTGGTGCATTGGTGCTTTGCATATGTGCGGGGGTCATGTATGATGTATGCAGTGTCTAGTTCTTTTGTTGAATTTGGCACATCCAAAGTGAAACAGGAAGTGACATCAAAGTTCCCTGGTCTTTGAAACATCCGATGCTTTGCTGCAGTCTATCTGTGTTGTTAACTTTTGTAGCATGCTAGGCTTACATGCCATCACTTCCTGTTGTTACACATGCACATATCTCATCTCAGTAGTTTATATATGTGTGTGTGTGTGTGTGTGTATGTATGTGTATGTATATATATATATATATATATAATTAATCACTGAAAACCAAGAGCTTGTAGACTTATTCATCTTCAGTGTTGACCATACATCTATATACATGTCACACATCCACCTCCTACTCTACATTTTCCCATGATCCTCCACTGTTTAACCTTGCTAAGGTCACTTCTAATTGGTGTCCGCTTGTTGTAATCGCTCCCATTACCTCGCTGGAAGGGTTGTGCAACAAGCTGGTGTGCTTCCATTAAGAGATGGGTTTTATTCCAGGGCGGTTGAGGGAATCACACAGCTGTTAAATCTGAATGATTTTTCTCATCTCTGCAAAAAAACAAACTCCAGATATCTTCTGAAGATCCAGTGAAGGAGGAGAACATCTTGGTCATTAATTCCTACTCCTCCTCTGCATGCTAATCTAACACCCATGTTGATCATTTTGTGGCTAAGATGCTTTTTCATGAATGGGATCTCAGAGATTGGCTTCAGGCCAAACATCAGCTGATTAGATTAATTTTTTTATTATTCTTTTTTCTTCGATCTGGAGTTCTGCCACAAGATGAGATTTCAATTCTCCAGAGGCTCGATTTCCAATCCTCGGAGTGGAGAAATCCAATTAGTTCCAGAACGTGAAGGCTCCTGCTCCGCAGCAGCAGGAGATGGAGCATTCCTTTATGGAACATGTGGGGCTTGGTGCACGCTGCTGTTAATAAATTAATTCCCATTGAAATTTGTTTCTTAAACAAAGTGGAAAATAAACATTTACTTTTTGTATGAATTCCAGACAATTTTTTTCGTTGTGAATAATTTGGAATATTTGTTATTCATGTGAATTTTGAGATCTCTGCTGGGCGGGGATGTAAAAACACCTCTAAGACTGCACTGGGAATGTTCCTGGATGTCAGTGATGTAGACWTTTCTGCATAAAGACCAACATTTAAATTCTTCAGATGTAAAAGGATCAAATAATGGAAAACATTGAATTTATTTAGCGTTTGGGTCCAAGTTATCTTTATTTTTGATTTGATCATCTGTACTTTATACTTGATTTATTTAAATKTTCCATTTTTTAAGCCAACAAATATTAGGGGAGACCGGGGACAGTTGCAACACGTTTTGCATTTGACTCTGTTACTCAGAGATGGTTTGAATTAGACAAACCAAATTTTAATACAATAAACTTATATCTGTCTGTTAATTGTACAAACCATTTATAGATTATTAAAGCATGTACGTTCTTCACAATTTGCATTTGAAAATGAAAAGTCAGATGTTGCAACTGACCCCAGCACTGGGGACAGTTGCAACCTTGTTTGGGGGTGGTTACAACATATTATTAATACAATATATTTCACTGTAAAAAAAGTTTTATTATTTCTATATTTATATTATTGCTAAATTTATAAAAACTAAGTTATAATGGTATTAGGGTTAGGAACAGTAAGCAAACAAGGACCCCCATGACATCAGGACCCCCTGCAGTTTGCTTATCGTCGTGGAGTTGGAGTTGACGACGCCATCATACACCTGCTTCAACAAACCCACTGTCATCTGGACAAAGCAGGCAGCACTGTGAGGATCATGTTCTTTGATTTCTCCAGTGCTTTTAACACAATTCAGCCTGAGTTACTTTGTCTGAAACTCCAGAAGACTCAGGTGGAGGCCTCAACAATCGCCTGGATCAAAGACTACCTGACAAACAGACCACAGTTTGTGAGACTGMAGGACTGTGTGTCTAACCAGGTGGTCAGCAGCACAGGAGCACCACAGGGAACTGTACTCTCACCATTCCTGTTCACACTGTACACTTCAGACTTCCAGCACAAGTCAGACTGCTGTCATCTACAGAAATACTCAGATGACTCTGCAGTTGTTGGGTGTATCAGAGATGGACAGGAAGCTGAGTACAGAGAGCTGGTGGACCGCTTTGTGGCATGGTGTAGGAACAATCATCTCATCTTGAATGTGAACAAAACAAAGGAGATGATTGTAGATTTCAGGAGAAATAGTGCTAGATCAAACCCTGTTTCCATCATGGGAGAAGATGTGGAGGTGGTTGAGGATTATAAATACCTCGGTGTTCATCTGGACAACAGATGGACTGGAGACTCAACAGTGAAGCAGTCTACAAGAAAGGACAGAGCAGACTGTACTTCTTAAGGAAGCTGAGATCCTTCAATGTCTGCAGCAAGATGCTGCAGATCTTCTACAAGTCTGTTGTTGAGAGCGTCATCTCTTCTGCCATCATCTGTTGGGGCAGCAACATCAGAGCCAGGGACCTAAAAAGGCTAAACAACCTGATAAAGAAGGTTGGTTCTGTTCTGGGGATGACTGTGGAACCTCTGGAGATGATGGTGCAAAGAAGGATTTTACATAAAATCAAGAACATTGTGGACAACCCTGACCATCCTCTTCATCAGACTGTCATAGAAAGACAAAGTGTCTTCAGTYGGAGGCTTCTTCAACTTCGCTGTAATACAGACCGCTACAGAAGATCTTTCCTGCCCACAGCCATCAGCATCTACAATAAGTTTTTAGTTAAATGAGTTACAACAACACCTAATTTCCCTCTGRGATCAATAAAGTATTTTTGAATTAGAATTGAATTTGAATTATGGTGTTATTTATTCTTTTTGATCAAATGATGAATATAGATTAGCCTTGATGAGTAGACCTTGTATACAGATGTTAAAGACTCTTATTGACATAAAATACAGTTGACTTTTGAGATAAGAATAATAGAACAATTTGTGAGGCAATTAACTTTTGTTTTGCCTATTGTCACAGTACGCCTACATTATGCAACATTTACACTGAAAGAAACTGGGATTTTAAAACCATTGTTGAAAACAACTGCAGAAAATACATCTTAATCACTTTTATGTTTTAAACTATAAAACTGTCATGAATACCCAATACCCTTTTAAGTATAAACTTAATTTCAACATCTTAATATCATCTGTATGTGCTCTGTTTTTATATGGACTTATTGTATGTTGCAAATGTCCCCCTTCCTGTCAGCCATGATAAAACCTCATGTGTTAGCTAAATAAGCTGATCTGGAAACATGTTAACTATATTAGGTAAAAGTCAACATATCACTTATTTAAACCATATAAGTTTGAGCTGGATCACAAAAACAGTGACAACAGTTTAACAAAAATAAAGCTGGGCAAAAAAAAAATACTTTCGTTCCTCAAAAACAATGTTTTTCAAATAAATCCTGGAGCAGTTTTTGAAACTGTTTACTTTTTCTTTGCAAGGTGGAGCATCTACCTGAGCATTTGCAGTGTGAGTGTCATCACTCGAGCTTGTTTCTGTTTGGAGAAAAAGGACGTGTTGCAACCGTCCCTTGTTGCTACTGTCCCCGGTCTGCCGTACTTAATGTTTATGTAAAATAGTTGTTTTTCTTTTCTTGCAGGACATCTGAGGGGGTCCACCCCCGCCTCCTGAATCCTTCTTACATCCAGTTCTCCTTTTTCAAACCTCTACTGGTGGGACGCTGCAAACCTTCCTACTGTAAGTTCACATGTTTTGTCCTGTTTTGTGATTTTTTTTTTCTTCATTAGCTTTTTTTTTTTGGCTAGAGAAATGTTAATTTAGTTGTGAAGTGCCTATGTGTACTGTATGTCTTGCTATCATTTCACTCTAACAGCACAAACTGAAGGATAATTCAAAGGTTGTTGACCCATTAGTGAGTATTTATGAAATCATATGAGTCATAGATATTGAATATATTTGTTGTAATTCTGTCACACAGCAGCATTTGAAGGTTTTCTGTCCTTTTCTGATTTATTTTTAAGTATAGTTATAATACAATTTGCTAAGCCGCAGGGTTTAAAACCCATGTATGATTTGGAACTGTGTTAAATTCTAACACTAACAGCATAAAAACTTCTGGATTTTGGACAAATCCTAAMAACCCCATGAAAATAGGATAATGGCTTTTCTCCTTCAAGTGCAGCTTCTGAGGAAACACCACGACTGCTGGACCAGCTGAAAAATAATTCCGCTTTTAGACTTTTTTGTTGTTTGTCTGAAGTGACTTTTCAGTCTGGTTTCAGCAGATGCTTTGCAGTTCTTTGGATAAGGAGGTGAAGAGATAAAAAAAATAAAGGAAATATCAAGTTAAGTGAGTAATAAAGCAATKGATGCTTTTTGAAATGGCGACCTTGAGTAATAAATAGCAGGAGAGTGCACAATAAAAAAATAAAAATTAAAAAAATTACCCAGAAGGATAAAGTTTATAAGAAACCTCATAACATTGTCTTTTCCAGTCATCTCAGTGTCTCTCTTTCTTTTTTCATCATGTCTCGTAGTTAATTGTCGCTTCATTTACATCTTTATCTACTTTATCCCAAACCTCCGCCTCTTCCTTCTTTCTCCTTTTCCTCCCAGCTGTCTGCTTGTTTTGTTTCTTCCTCATCATCAAAATAACTTCTTCTTTTTTTTCACTTTCTGATACATTGTGTTCGTCTTTTATCCTTTGTCCTTTTCTCGCTCTGCCGTAATGAATTCCTTTTCACTGCTTTTATTCCCCTCATCTCCACCCATTCATCTTCACTCATTCATTCAGTTTGTTTTACCCCTTCATCATGTTCACCTCATTTACTCACGCTCTCTGCAGCTGACCCTCAGTTTCCATTATTCAACTGTACAAATTTCCCTCGGAGCTCTTTTTAACTCCCATTCACTGTTTTTCATTCAGAGAACGACATTCAGAAAGGCACAAACAGCTACACACCCAGCCACACAAGTGTTTCAGTTTGACTGTACTTTACTCAAATGGAATGAATTCCAACGAGACAATCAGTGCAGGCATCCGTTATGTGAGCACATAGACTGGTAATGATTTTTTTTATAATAACCTCTGAATATGAATTAAAGTAGAGGAATAAAAAGGGTTTTGGAGGCCAGGTGTTTTGATGCTGCAGCCGTTTGCTGCCTCTTGTTCAGGCAGGCTCTGACAGAACATAAGATTTGGTCTTTATAATTTACAAATGATTGCTCTGTTTAATGTATTTGGGTGTTTGACGTCACTGCAATCTTCAAATCTGAGAAAAAAAAAACCTCGCTGTAGCAACATCTGTTGTGTCGTCTGTAACTAACTTGTGAAGAAACAATTCAAGTATTGCGCATGTCAAAGCCTTGATAGTGTAATTCTGTTGTAGTTCCAAGAAATTATCAAAGAAAGTGTATCAAATCAAACACCAAAAAAGCATCATGTAAAAAAAGAAGAAAAAATATATATATGTTGAAACAAACAATGGGAACTTGAAGAAATCTTTGTCCTGATTTTTGTTTTTTAAACAATTTAGAAAAACAATGAAACCAGCAGAAATGGAGACAATCAGCTTGTATTGTAAATCATTTTATGTTTTGTCAATGCAAATCTTTACATTTTCTTGCAYCAACACGTATTAGTCTTAAACCTTTTGTTTTCCTATTAGACCACCTCTGCATTGTCAGAAATTAACAAATAGCTTGAAATATTGACGGTGTCTGGCAGCCGTACAGTACACCAATACTACAGTATTACCAGTAGTACTATAGTAGTTCTGTAGTACTACCAGTACTACAGAAAACCAATGCTGTCTACTGTAGAGGTATAGAAACACCCAAAAACACAAGTTTATT